AAAGTACCTAACCGAAAACCTGGATATTATTGATAAATCTTATATTGTCCCCTGAATCCGAAAATATCGTCAAAAGTTAAAAAAGTAAAACAGTTTTTGAGATCAATTCTTCATTTAATATGGAATTGACTATGTTTCAAAAACTGCTCCACTTTCATAATTTTTTATGGCATTTTCGGATTCAGGGGACAATTTTACATAAGAATTGGATGTTAAATTTTGGGATACCATTATATTCCATGGTTAACTATGGTACAAGTGGCCACTAATTACTATTAAATTAGTCATTTTTGACTAATTAATTTTTAGAGAGTAGGTAAAAAACGTGGATTTAACCGGTTTTGCTTTAAAATCAACTTTTAAATGTTATTTTAACAACGATATAGGGTTTTTTTTGGACCAAGTCACTTTAGTAGTCGATATAAATAAAGCAAAAGATGCGAAATTTACAAAGAAAAAACGAAAAACGAAAAAAAATGTACATATATAAGTGATTTTGCTCGAACATTCCTTAATTTATATTGTTTTTTTTTGTTTATTTTTCTATTTTTAGCTTAGGTAATATTGCGTAATATATTTGTTTATTAATTTATATTTTTGGAGAATGGAGGATCGACAAAACCGAACTTTTCCAAATTGTTTAAAACAAATTTGTGAATTTGTGTACATAATTAAAACATTTCATTAATATTAATATTTTAGCATTAATTTACCACCGCATAAACCTTAAAATAGCTCAAAATAATGTGTCCCTAATTTTGTCCGCGATTTTTGAAATTCCTCCCACTGTGGGACGGCGCTACATGCCACACGGACGCTACGCATGTCTATGCCAATAGCCCGCAATCGATGGGTAAACCACTTTAAAATCAGCGACACCAACGTTCGACGTTATATAGACGTTGTGTTCTGATTTTTCCTTATTAATCGCTATCAATAAGGAAAAATAAGCTAAGCTTTACCAGTTTTTTTGGTTTATTATTCTCAGTTTTAAGAAAAACACAAATCTCACTACAAAATTTAAAATTTTATTTGCAAAAGAACAATTTGTCAAAAAAATGTAACACCCTTTTATAATACCCTCAAATTTAAACAAACAAAAATAATAAGAAAGAAAAGGGTTGCCAGGTGATTTTACTGGACAGGAAATTTACTTAAAAAACCGTGTGCTTTACATGAATTGCCAGAGGATGAGGCTAGCAGACGTCACAGTCCAAAATAAATCGTTCAAAAAACAAAAAAGTTATGTCGTTTTGAAAAAGAACGAACTTTTTGGTTGCGCAGTTTATATAGGTAAATTGAGGATGTCCAAACCTCCACTTTTTAATAAAAATGAGTTAGTGGTGTCTTTACATTTAACATGTTTCCCCCTATATCCTGAAGAGTTCGTAATATTCTAAAACTCACCTTATTCCATTTAAAATTCCATTGGTTATATCATGCAGAACTCGGCTTATACATAATATGTAATTTTTAATTATTTTAAATTAGCTATACCTTTTTAATCAAGGTATATAAATGTTTTACTTATGCCTATATATTTCGTTTGTAACAAACGTGGCAAGGGGGGCAAAACACGTGTTTACAAATTTTACAGAAGTATAGTAATTAGACATTTTATATAGTAATTGGACACATGGAACATAGTTATTGGACATACAAATTTTATATAAACATAACAACTTTACATTAAATAGCATAAAATGACAAATATTTTTTAAAGATAAATAGCTGTTTTAGGTAATTTTTTTATTTCGTTTTTGTAAATATTATATAATCCATATATTTCTTTTTCGGATTCCTCATCTCGTTTTGCATCGTTTTTGTAAGTATCATATAATTTATCTATTTCTTTCTCGGATTTCTCATTCAGTTCTGCATCAGTAAATTCTTCACTTCCATTATTATCATTACTCTCTTTGTAACATGATGACATAAAAATATATCATCTTCCAATTCTTCCGGTATATGTTATTGATGTTTCTTAGGAATGCACTACTTCTCCAAATTTTTCTTTCCCTTGCGATGTCATATTTCTGGATTCTGAAGGTAACTACTAATTCCTTGGTCTCACTTCTGAAATAGTTTGTTGCAAATATCATTAAGTGTGGTATCTCTAGTTTGTGAAGCATTTATAATGTTTAGGCCGGAACAGGATGATTTATTATAATTCTCTGTTGTACATCGCTGGAATTTTCCAACATTTTCTGTTGCAACTCGTTGGAATTTTCTAGAATATTCTGTTGTAAATCGACAGATCTTTTAAATTTTGCAACATTAAATGCATGTCACAAGGGCCTTCAAATAAATACTCATCTGGATTTTTACCTTCCTATTCCAACGCTTCTCGAAGCCGCTGCTGCAACACATTCTTTTTCCCAGTTGTATCACAATCCCTTTCTTCTAGCTCTCGCTTGAGGTCCGCCACTTTTAAGTCCATTAACGAAACCATCTTCGCGAAGTTTCACACTAACCGCACTCCTGACACCAATTGTAACGTTTTTACTGTTCGCAGTGTGAATAAAAACACGCACTTGGTTAATTAACGAACTAAACTATTTATTTTATAACTTTTTACAGTTAAAACACTAAAAAACTATAAAAACTAACTTAACACTTAACTACTAATTATATATATTGTACAAGAGTCTATTTATTTGCACGTATATTTATTTATTTTATCGCCAGTACCAAAGCTTGACTAACCTGCTCCATGCTGCGCTATCCCTTATATACCTATTAAGTGCCTACGTGACTCTAGACACGCAAGCGCCTTCTCGAATATTCCAGCTCCGGACCGCTCTCGATCGCTAGAGCGCCGACTCACCGGCGAGGACTCATCGGTGATGAGTTATAATTCCGAGATCCAGAGTGGTACTCGCTACAATACTATACTATATATACCTAATATTTTTGATTTATATATACTTACCTAATATTTTTTTGAGAAGTGGTGCAAACGTTACTTTATTCAATACATCGCCATTCACGAACTCCCTGTCGCCATGCCATTTTTAATGGTAAAAAAACCGATACATCGAAGAATTCTTCTGGCGTTTTTGTGCGATTTTTAACTAATTGCACAACACACTTAGTTCGTAGCTTAACTAGGACTTATGACCGTCCATAAACAGGATTACTGCTATAATAAATTGTAGTTATTGGAAGAAATACAGTTATTGGACACCTGTCCAATAACTATTCAAACCCAACCAAAGATTCGTTCTAAAGAAAATAAAATAACACTATTCTTTATAATGATGATTTAAGGAATACAGTTATTGGGCATATGTCCAATAATATAAATTTACATATTTTTACAACCAGTAATTGGACACTGGCCATTTTATTGTTTGTTTTCAGAATTAAAATTAAAATAATGTTTAAACAATGAGGAACACATTAAATTTTATACCACACACTGATCTGTACACTTTTTAGAAATATTTTTTATTGTAATTTAAACACAGCCCTGCTCTTAACAAAAAACAAAAATCTTACCCTCCAAAGTAGCGTGCGAACTTGTTTGTCCTATATCAACAGACAATTGAAGAGGTCGGGACAATAAGGGACCTAAGCCTCATTGGAAAAATATTAAGCAAACAATGTTTAAAGATAATGACTCAACCCTAAAATTTGCTATTTTGATATTGTGATTAGTTTTAATAAACCACTTAAATTTTATTAAAGGATATAAAAGTTTAAAATTATTTTCTTTTTATTGCAGGCTTTGAATAAACACTTTAAACCGTGTATAGATCCCTTATTTCCCCGACCTTTTTAATTCTTGGGTGATTTTAAAACAAAAAGTCCATATAAACATGGGTCCGCAAATTCTTCGTTTTCAAAATACAGGGTGTTAAACTTTGATAAACCTTAACCTTTTTGACAAAAAAAATTATGCCACTGACTATTTTATAATTTATATATATTTTTTTAGGGTTAAGCAACTAAAATTACAATCATTAAATGCATATCTTGTGTGGTCCAGGGATATGCAATTAAGGGGATCTTATTTTTTTCTCGCAAACAAAATTCAAGACACAAAAAAATTGTATTTTTAGCTGCTTAATCCCAAAAAAATATAAAAAAAAACAAAAAGTCAGAGTTATAAATTTTGTAGTCAAAAATATTTGTTAAGGTGCCTCTTAGACTCTTAACACTACAAATAACACTGCCAAATTACAACAACAAAATTGGGTAAGGAATATTTAAGATAATTACGAAAAACTAATTTAAGTTTAACACCCTGTATTTTGAAAAAGAAGCATTTGCGGACCCATGTTTATATGAACTTTTTGTCTTAAAATCAGTTTAATTTATTGTACATACTTAAGTAACACTCTGTATAGAAAAAATTTTTTTTATATAAAGCACGCCGAGATCCATATAATTAAATTGTGTAGTTCTTTATTCCGGCTCGGGTGGCGCTGTTACATTTACTGTAAACATCCCTTTAGCTGAGGGAATCTCGACCCATATAACAAGGAAGTGTCTGCTCAACTGTTAAACAGACACTTCCTTGTTATATGGGCGCGATATTCCCTCAGCTAAATCGTTGTTTACAGTAAAAGCGTTCTTAATCAATGGTAAAAGTAACAGCGCCACCCGAGCCGGAATAAAGAACTACAAATTTTATTTAATTAGGGCCACGGCGTGCTTTCTTTATACAAAAATATTTTTTGTATATAAAAATTTTTTTCTTTATAAAAATATTTTTTTCCATATAGAATTTTCCACAATAATTTTTTATATATATACGTTTTATTTTTACCACATTGGCACCGCTGAATTTGCTGTCACGGGCCGTGACTCACGGCCTGCTGTTATTTATTTAACAAACTATTTATGGAGAAACTACCTTAAGATTGCCAACTTAAGCTAGTTGTATCTGTCTTAAGAATGTTAATTTAAGCTAGAATATAACTGTCTTAAGAATGTCAACTAAAGTTAAATAATATTTATATTTATATTATAACTGTTTTACTTTGTATTTTTAGGAAACATGGCCAAAATACTACGAAAATTTTCCACAACAACTGTCGATCCGGGCGAAATAAAACGATTCTCGCAATTTAACGAGCAATGGTGGGACAAATTCGGACCAATGAGACCGCTTCATTCGATGAACAAACTGCGCGTGCCCATGATCAGGGAAGGCCTTGCGAACACAGGCTCTTTAACAAGTGACAACCGTCAAAACCTTAAACCTCTTGCAGGACTAAGCTTGCTTGACGTAGGTTGCGGAGGCGGTATACTATCCGAACCGCTAGCGAGGTTAGGTGGTTGCATAACCGGGTTGGACGCCAACGAGAGCATTATTGATCACGCGCAGAAGCATTCTATGAAGCAGGGGTTGAATATAAGTTATTCTGCTGGGTGTATAGAAGATTTTGCCAAAAATAACAAAGAAAAATTTGATGCTATCGTTGCCTCTGAGATTATAGAGCATGTTACCCAGAAAGAGGAGTTTTTAAAGGCTTGTTTGGAGTGCTTAAAACCTAACGGTTCGATTTTTATAACGACTATTAATAAAACAACCCCTGCTAATTTCGTGGCGATTTTTTTGGCTGAGGATGTGGTTCAATTGGTGCCCAAAGGTACACATGAGTTCGAGAAGTTCATAGAGCCGCATAAATTGCAAAGGATTTTAGAGGATTGTAAGGATAATCTGTATACAGATGGGTAAAAAACTCGGGGGTTGATTCATAAAATAATATTTTAAAAAAATATATAGGAAATTTCACGCCAAACGGGCAACTTTAAAAGAAAAGTTGTTAATTTTTTTTTACATTTGGGTTTGCTATACCCCCAGGGGGTCTAAGCGTTGACCTAAAACTGTTTGACTATTTGAGGCCCAATGGCTCTGCTTGGGGTCTGAATACTCGGCAGCAAAACGTGCAACATGTATTTAAAAGCTGACTACTTACGAAGGCGTAGAAGGGACAATTACACAAAATTTATTTTTAATATTTAATTCCGAGTTAGGTAACAGAATTAATTCACCCCATTTAATTCTCCGTTAGGTAACACAGAATTAATTCCTACTACGCTCTAGAGTACATTTTAAGATATATCTAAAAGAATATAAAGAACTAGGCATTATACTCATGAAATGCATTTACGACAAAATATGATTATAATTATATGTACTTTAAAGAATTCTTTATTTGTTATTAATAAATCACTTATCTAATATCAATTACAAATAACATAACAATAACATTGATTTTCAATAATCTAAATTAAAAAAAAACATAACCCGAAAAAAAGAAACGTCAAAAAATTAATTCTTCTTCTTCTCAACTAAAATTATAGATCAAGCGGTTTTAAAACTAAAATATTATAACGTGGCGCCATCTATCGTAAGAATCTTAAACTAAACACACTGGCAACCATAGAAAAAGCTGGCAACGTTGTCAATAGCCTAGTGACGTAATTAGGAGATTTTTTTTTGTAAATATCTCGAAAACGGTAAACTCAATTGAAATTCCGATTTCACAGAAATGTTTAAAATTACAATACGCCTTGAATAAAACCATAAAAAGTATAGGTCAGAAAAAATTTAACTACCCCATTCCCTTCCCTTTAATTCCGCGATAACTAACACAGAATTAATTCCCTCCTATTTAATTCCGTGTTAGGTAACACAGAATTAATTCCCTCCCATTTATTTCCGTGTTAAGTAACACAAAATTAATTGAATTAATTCTGTGTTAGTTAACACAGAATTAATTAGGAAGGGAATTAATTCTGTGTTAGTTAACGCGGAATTAAAGGGGAGGGAATTAATTTTGTGTTAGTAATCGCGGAATTAAACGGGAGGGAATTAATTCTGTGTTACCTAACGCAGAATTAAATGGAAGGAATTAATTCTGTGTTAGCTAACACGGAATTAAATAGGAAGGAATTAATTATGTGTTACCTAACGCAGAATTAAATGGGGTGAATTAATTCTGTGTTACCTAACTCGGAATTAAATATTAAAAATAAATTTTGTGTAATTGTCCCTTCTACGCCTTCGTAGACTACTAGATTTAAATTGCTTTGTAAAAAAATAATTAAAAATGAAATTTATATTTAATTTAATGCTCTTGTGGAGCTCAAATTTAAAATTTTTAATTCGTTAATCATGTAAGAAAAGCTAATAACTTTTTTTTTAATTTGTCATATATAATTTTTTTATAAAATTGCTTATTATATATATTTACGCGTTCCGAGAAAACGAACCATACGTTTAAAAATTGATTTGCGAGATTATGATTGTTTTTAGTGTATTTCTACAAGATCTTTCAAAAGTCACTTTAATCGCCTCTCCTATAAAATGGCCCATATCTTCTTCTTCTCCTTTTTTGGCTTTTCCCTTCCGGGATTTGGCCAGCTTAATTTTTTTTTTCTATAACTGGGGAGGGCGAGTCTAGGAGTTCCTATAGCCGCTCCCTTCTTTTTCAATATTATTTTTTTTATCACTGTCACTTTTTTATACTTTTTTTCTGTTTTTGTCCAATTCATAAATATTGTTACAATTCATTTAAGTACATTTCTTCATTTCGTCTCCCATTCAATTACGGATAATAAATAATAAAATAAATTTTCGGTGTTGACTCCATTTTAGTTCCAACCATGCACTGTTATTTCTTTAAATATTTAATCCATCCGTCGTGGAAATCCTTCGAAAATTACTTAATCTATTGTAGATTTTCTATATTTGACAAAAACCAGCGTATTTTGTGCTGGGATTCCGATTTTGTCCCTCCAGGATCTCAAACGACCAGCCGTCTCCAAGAACAAAACCCGAATGAAAATGGCCGATATCGGTTTCAGTACAGCTAATATCGTCAAAGGATATCGGGCCGCGATGCGGGGTGTAACCAGTGCAGCCAACCAGTCGAAATTAAAAGCCGCGCGCATGATCTAAAATTGCCGTGTTTTTACAAACTATCGCCGTGTCAAATTTGAAATTCATTGGAATAAAAAAATTAACTGCATAAAACATATATTTTTATTTATGAAAAAAGTAAGTCCTTATTTTACGTACTTAATTTACAATTTGTAATAAAATAATATAAAGCGGGAAATCCCCGTCGCTTCGTCCAGAGTTTGCCAATTGTCTAAGCAGAAAAATTTAGTCTCAGTCAGGTCTTGGTCGTACACTTCGAGAAGAAATCGTGTAGTTATCAAAATTAAAAACCATTTAATTTGTAATGTAAAGTTTATTATTTTCACCCATAATATAACAATTGGTATGATTATCATCGATGATATTTTCGAATTGAAACCGAGCTGCAGATTTCACGAGTCCGCAGGACGAGTGAAATGTGCTGCTTCGTTTTCAATGAGTAAATATAACCGATTATTAATCATACCACGAGTTATATTTAGTGAGAAAATATATTGAATTTTAGAATTTAAAGAATTGTCAGTTTGACATTTGAAATTAAAATGTGCTTTAAAATATAAAAAGACTTTCATAAACCTTATTTATTCAAACTTGCCTTAATTTCGTTATCGTTTACACCAACCCATCGATCTTTTAGAGTTTATAATTCATTATTTTAATCACAAGATTTAAATGTCATCAAATGTCAAATAAAGAAAAGTGTCAAAATTCTTAGTAACGTGTAAACAAGGTGATAAAAAATATTGTCGCTGTGATAAAATTCGTAACTATGGAATACTGGCATGTTATTGGTTCAAATATTAATTAATTATATTGTCATAACGATATAGCATTATAATGTAAGGTAAACACATTTTATACAGCCCTACTCTAACTAATTGTCATTTTTTCATCACTATTAAGAAATAAATATTCTGCAGCTGCCTAGCATAAGGAAGTTTATCGATATCTCCGGCCCTTTTAAACGAAAAATTTAATGTTATTAATTATTATTAATATAAATTATAATGTCAAAAGCTTGCCCTAGTGCTTTATATCAGAGCTGGCCAAGTACTGAGTACTTTTACTCGTATTTTAATTACTCATAAGTATTTTTTATTTGAACCAAATTCAATGCACTCGTAAAAAATACTCGAGTAATATATACGAGTATTTTCGTTTATTATATCGATGACTTTTTGACAAAATATCGTAAGCATCAAAACATTTTGTTTGGAAGTCTTTTTTAAATTATATAATATATAGTATAATATAATATATTATAGCCTATAGGTTTTATAACAAGTGAATAGGTAAAATTATAAACTATTTAAGAATTGTTATACTTAATGTTTAAAATAAATAATTTTATAAATTTGTATTTGTATTTTTATAACTCAGGACCAAAGTATATTATATAATGTACACTCTCTAAAAATGAATTGGTCGAAAATGACTAATTACCACAGTGGAAATTAGTGAAAATACCGCCATATTATATGGAAAATGGACTATATCTCAAAAACTGCTCCACTTTCATAATTTTTGACGACATTTTTGGATTCAGGGAACAATTTTACATGGAAATTGACTGCTAAATGTTAAAAATACAAATTGCTATTGGCGAGAATTATTAGTGGCTGCTTTTTCCCTATGACAATTAGTAATTTTTAACTAATCCACTTTTAGAGAGTAAAGAATAATCAATTATATTTACTAACATTTTTTATTCAAAAGGACTCGTACTCTTTACTCGTGTTTTCACGATTACTACACGTAACCGTAACCTCTCTTTACAAATGTACTTACGAGTAAATATTTTAAGTACTCGTACTTAAAATTTTATGAATACTTTTTTAAGTACTCGTGCCCAGCTCTGGTTTAAATTCACACTATCGAACCAATAAAAATATATGTATGTAAAAACGACTATTTTTTTTGAGTCTCGAGTGAAAAAATGTTAGTTTTTGATGTTTTAAGAGGTCTCTCCAAAGGACAGCTAAAAAAAAAAATTTTTAGAGTTCGCTCCAAATTTTTTTTAATTTCAAAAATCGTCAAAATGTTGTACATAGTTGATTAAATAAAATTATTAAAGTGAAAAAAAAATTTGTTTTCTATATTGTGCTTGATTTTTAGTTCATCTCGTGGTGTATTTTTATCGATTATTGTACTAAATAAAAAAAATGCATGGAATTTTAATGTGAATATTAAAAGGTCGCTCGAAAAAATCTAAAGTAATGCACTAATAAATTAAAAAAAAATATGAGCGACCTTTCAAAATTTAAATTTTGATCTGAAACTTTTAGAAACTTATTTTTTTTATGTCTGTAAAATTATACCGTACCGAGAAAAAAAATTTAAAAAAAAATCGATTTTTGAAGAATTTTGAAATTTAAAAAAATTTGGAGCGACCTCTAAAAAAATTTTTTTTGAGCTGTCCTTTGGAGAGGCCTCTTAAAACATCAAAAACTAACATTTTTTCACTCGAGACTCAAAAAAAAATAGTCGTTTTTTTTGCGCCACCCTAATATATGGGTATATAGGTACTATTTTTTCTAATTAACAAAATTTTAAATTAAAACATAGTACCTGTATATACCCATATATACCTAACTGTAAATACCTGTTTTCCCACAGCCTACATAGTTAGATGAAGGTAACAGGAAGTTAAATGAGTAGATCATGATTCAGTTTTAGAAAATTGCTGAATAATTATGCTTAACTACGGTTTCGCGAAAGTATCGAACGGTCGATTTGCAAGGGTTCAAGAAATCGATTGAAAATTTTTTACCTTATTTCTACATCTTAATGCAGTACTTTTTTCAAAAAAAAAATCTCGTCCATTGACAACTTTGTTTTTATTTTTATTTTTTTCTTCGCTGTGTTAAAAATGAAGAAATTTCATTTTTTTCAAATAACTTTTTTATTTAAAAACGTAT